TATTGGCTTGGAAACGAAAAGATTCATCAACTGACTGAGATTCCGAGCCAGCTGCGAGTGGAAATCAACAAGACATCAAGTGGAAATAGATATGCCAAGTATAGTAATTTTACAGTTACTAACGAGGCAACTAACCACACACTGTTTGTTGGTTTCTATTCTGGTACAGCAGGAGATTATCTTACCTATCATAACGGCATGGCTTTCACTACCAAGGATCGGGATAATGACAAGCAGAAAAGTTTTAACTGTGCTGTAAACTACGAAGGAGCTTGGTGGTTTAAAAGCTGTTTAGGTTCTAATCTAAATAGTAACTATGAAAACAATGATTATCAGTGGACCTGGAACTACCTCACGGGAAGCGAGATGAAACTCAAACCAAAATCTCCTTGATCAACGTTTTGTTTTACGGATAAACGCTGATCAAATCAAGCACAGGAAAGAAAGCAAAACTGAGAAAACTAAAAATTTTTATGTTTTTTTTTTCTGACAATACAGTCGCATCTTCAACAAGAGTACAGACATAGTAGATCATGAATACCATCCCTCCCGCTAGGTTACTGGAGGGGAGCAGGGGAGAAGGTTGCATGAATTTGATCCCCTCGATATTGTGCTTTTCCTCCTTCCAACTCGGCACGATTGCTCAATCATATTGTTTGTGGGATTTGTCTAACTACCATTCTCGGAGACCCAGGCGCAGTTAGTGGGGGCGGGGAAAAGTCTAAACGGGCGACAAAAAAATTCGGGCGAAGAAAAGTCACTTCGACCGAATTTTTTTTCTCGCTCGTTTAGACTTTTCCCCGCCTCCACTAACTGTCCCTGGGTCTCCGAGGATGTCTAACTACCCGCCCTGTAGTGTTGTCAGTTCCCATTTAAGCGATAAACTGCATGTTAACGGGAGTTGTTCGAAAAGCAATTCATTAAAATATTTTAAGATAGGTATGCCTGACTTAAAATTCATATTGGATTCTGTAGTTTTAAAAACGAAAAGCACGTATTAGGCAAAATTTGATGTGGAACTCGATGAATGAAATCTGTTCACTATTCAGAACTGCGTTGTAATTCGAAGGGTCAGTTCAAGAATTTCTGAATGGCAGAAAGGTTAGTGATAGAAATTTCGTTTCTACATTTACGTCTTGTGTTACGGTACGTAGTTTGAAGTTTATGACGTCGTGAGTCACTCTATTAAAAGATTGGATTCGTGATAGAACGCTGGTAGATTTCTTTATACTGATAATAATTCCACTGCTGGGTGTAACCAAACCAAATGAATATGCGTAGTGTAAGTAGCTATGATCAAGCAATTGTTTTGTCAGGTATATATAGAGATATTATATGTCTTACATTAGAGGACG